TGGGTGGCGGGGGGTGGGTGGCCTGTGGGCGTGCCGGGGGGGCCAGTGTGCCCACCCCAGTCTCTTGGCGTGCTGGAGGGCATCCTGGATGGAATTGAAGTGAATGGAACAGAAGCCAAGCAAGGTGGAGTGTGGGTCAGACCCAGAGGAGAACAGGTAATGGGTTCGGCAACTAGGTTCTGCCAGCTCTCAGGCAGCAGGCATGGTCACCTGGCTGGGAAAAAGGGAACTAAGGTGTCTTTTAGACACTGTCTTTAAGCACCTCTGGGGCATGAGGCCAGCAAGCCTGCTACCTCCCTTTTCCAGGAGATGAGGTTGTGTTCAGATATAACAGGGACTTAGGCACTTGGATTGGGACATGTCCATTCTGAAAGGGGGAGTGATATGGAGCAGAGTAATTATAGGCAGCAGGCATGTGGCCCCTCCCTTGACAGTGCTGGGCAATCTCAATGCCCCTAGCATCCCCTCTCCCGTCGCTGCCCTCACCTGAGCATGTGGGATCCAAACAGCCTTTCTGTTCTCTTCCTCTCCCTACCAGCCCCTTCGCCATCTAACCACAGGTATGTGGTCCACAAGCCGTGGTGCATGTAACATGACATTTCAGGGCCCATGCACTGGTAACTATTGGTCACAGCCAACGCTTATACTTGGAATCTATTGGGAGCCCCACAAGTTCTTCCTTGTTCATGGTCAAGGGCGGGCACTGCCATGGAGCTCCTCCCAGGAAGTGGAAGTGCATGCCAGCTATGAAGGTTTTGCTTACACGTGGGTGAGACGTCAGCCCTGCACACACAGCTAGCAATGGGTTACCTGTGATCTGCGTTGCCCTTGAGGAGCCCAGAGGGTCTCTGCCTTTCCCATCAGCTCCAAGTGGCACAGAGCTCTGTCCCAGTTGGCATGGTGCCCCAGGAGCTGGGTACAGCCTGTGCCTATGGCCAGGGAGAGGGTGGGGGTGGGGGTGCTCTGGGGAGCAGTGTGGCTGGCTGTTGCCTAGGAGATCAGATCCTGAGCCAGGAAGCCAGAGGCCTGACCAGGCAAAGCCTTGGGGCCCAAGACTGGGTCCCGGCAGGGGTGGAGGAAGTGGATGGGCTCACGGCTGGGTAGGGCACCAGGATATCACCCCTCTCCCAAAGCCTCATCCCGGGCGTGATTCTGAGAAGGATGATTTGCTGTGTGGCTGTCACTTGCAGGCTCTATACCTCTTTCCTCAGAGTTCTGTGGGTCTGGGAGGGTCTGCCCTTAAGGCTTGGAGAAAGGCGGGAATACTGGTTCCCAGTCCCTCCAGGACTGCAGCCCCTCCTCCACTGTCCTCCCCTCCCCTCCCCCATGTCCTTGCGCCACCTTGTGGCTGTCCATGGGACTGCACCCAGAGGTTGTAAGTCTGGTAATTGCTGAAGAGGCCTGTTTAGCTAGGCCCTAGATGGCCTGAGTTCCCCAGCACCCACCACTCCAGAAGGCAGTAGGGAGACTTGACCCTGCAGCCTCAAAGGAAGCAGACAGGTTAATCCCCAGGGGGCGTGGAGCACAAGGCTGTCTGTGATTGTGACCCTGGCCAAGGTCACTGTGTCAGTGTGTTGGGAGCCACATCTGCTCCAGGAGAAGGGGTGGTGCCACATGCCACACGCAGGGTGGGTATGGGAGGTTATACAATCCTTGCATGCATGGAGAAGGGTTATGTAACCTGTGTGTGCTGAGGTTATGTAACATGTATGTGGAGAGCTTGGTGACATATATGTGCAGTGGCTGAGGGTTGCTAATAATACCTTGCATGGAGAGGCTCAAGGTCCTTGTTATGGCTCTGACTCCCACACATGGTGTCACCAGGCACAAGTGGGGCCTCTCTGTGCTGTTCTGTTAAGTGGAGGCAGTGAACAGGGCGACTCTAGTGTTTTCAATTGCTATAGGTTATTCAGCATGTGTGCAGGACCCAGATATGAAGCACATGTTCACACTTGGGGGAGGGAGTGGTATTATTAGATGCCGGTCCAGAGGGTTGTGTAACAAATGGGCTTATCCTGGAGGTCATAGAACACATTTGAGAATGCCCTGAAAGTTACATCAATATGTAGATCTTGGTGCTTATTTACCGTACTTGGTTTTATACTGAAGGCTGCATAGTTGTTCATATGTGCTGGTGTTATGTTGCACATATATGTGTGTGTTCTAAAGATTACATAGCTTTAAGCATATCCTGAGGATTCTTTCAGCATATTTGTCATGCACTGAAAGCTTAAATATGTGGATGTCCTGTGGATTGTGGGTGCTTAAGGTCTGCAGTGTGTGTGTGTGTGTGTGTGTGTGTGTGTGTGTGTTGGGGCCCTAGAACATGCTTGTGCCCCAGCCAAGCCCCTTATCTCTCTTCCCTGCAGCTTCCAGATAGCTGGACCCTTCTAAGCTTTGTCAGCTGACCTGGGGGTGGGAGGTAGGATGAGGACACAAGATGGAGGGACTTGGGCCTGGGGGTTTGTATAAGCCTCTCAGATGAGAAGGGGGATGCCCAAAGACTGCTCTGTGATTCTGCCAACTTTGCCCCCACCCAGTGCCAGGTCACCAGATGGAAAGCGAAAAAGAAAGAACGGCCAATGTTCCCTGAAAACCAGCATGTCAGGTGAGCCTGGCTGCATGTGCCCCTTCTCCCCACCCCCAACCCCAACAGACTGCAGGCCAGGCCTCTTCTGGGCCTGGGCCTGTGCCAGCAGCTCCTGTGTCCCAGGGAAAGAGCCTTCTAGAGGGCTTGGGATAGACATGTCTGGGAGTGAAGGGGTGATGAGGGGTGTGCCCCAGCTTTGGGGAATGGATTAGGTCAGGACGGGCCTCTTCCCTTCTTCCATAACACCCCCCCCCACCAACCCCGCACCTAAGGCCAGCACTAGAGTCAGGGCCTGTGCTGGAGGACCTTGGGCCTGTATTCTCCTGAGATGAGCTGCTGATGTTTGTTTTTCTCTCTCTGCCATCCTCTGCCCCTTAGAGCAAGAAAAAAAGCCCTGAATGGGCAATCAGAAGAACTGAAACTCTCTATATTCCTAGTGAAGGGGATGGTCAAGATTACCTCCAGTTATGTCTCCAGAACTCTACCTGGAGACAAAGAACCCATCAGGGAGGCTGGGCTAGGAAATGGGCCAGAAAGGAAAAGTTGGGAGATGGGGAGAGTGCAGGTGCCTCTCTGTTGGGGCTCCAAGCGATGCCTGCCTGCCTCCATCCTTTCCTCCCTCTCAGGGTATATCCCTAGTTACCTGGACAAAGACGAGCAGTGTGTCGTGTGTGGGGACAAGGCAACTGGTTATCACTACCGCTGTATCACTTGTGAGGGCTGCAAGGTATGGAAACCGTCTCCTGCCCCTCCCCCACTACCCGAGCCCCCAACTCCCTCCGTTTAAGTCCCTCAGCCCTTGGCACGACGGACAAGCTCTATAAACATGAAACCTAAAGCCCACCTGTTATGTCATCATTTCTTCTCTCTTACTCATTCATGCATTCGTTTATTCATTCATAATCCCTGCTGTACCGCTCACAACTAAATTGCCTAACCTCTCTGAGCCTCAGTTTCGTCACCTATAAAACAGGGATAATCGTACTACCGCCCTCATAGAGTTGTTGAGAGAATTAAATGAGATAATTCACATGGAGTGTTTAAAGCAGTGCCAGGCACATAAGAACACTTGATAAACGTCAGCTACCATCCACCCAATCAGCGTATTAAGTGTGAAGGGTGCAGTGTATGTCCTGCCCTCAAGCTGCTCAAAGCCTATCAGAGAGAGACCGACTTGAAACAAACATCAGCGGTTTTCAAAATGAGGTTATTGGGCCACCTGCAGTACTATTTAAAATGCAGATTCCAGGTCTCACCCCACCCCTACTCAAACAGACCTTTTTGTGGTGGAGCCCAGGAATCTGCCTTTTAATAGGCTCCCTAGGTGTTTCTGATGCACCTGAAAGGGTGAGAGTCAGTGGTGGAGGAACAGAGAAAGAGGATGGCAGGTTCTTCCTGGGCAAAGGGGACCAGGTCACAGGCTTGTGGAGGCCTAATTAAATTTGACTTTGGTCATTTCAACCTGCATGGCTCTCCTGAGATCACCTCCTGAAAATGTATGACCTTCTAAGAAACAGAATAATTTTTAAATGTGTTGAGGCTGGAAGTTTCTCTCTTTCTTAGTGTCAGCCAAACCAAGACCACCAGGAATTTAGAGTTCCATAGCAGTGTTCCTGGAAGCAATACAAGCAGTGTAGCATAGAGCAAGGATCCTCACCCTCAAGGACGCCTGAGTCCCAAGGGAGCACCCTCAAAAGACAGGAATGCCTTGGCCCCAGCCCTAGAGAGTGATTTTGCAGGTCTGGAGCAAGGCCCTGGAATCTGTATCTTTGGTGAGTGCCCTAGGTGACTTTAATGCACCCCAGAATTTGAGAGCTCAGACCTTGGTGCCCCATACCTGAGGCCCAGATCTGGCTCAGCTGCCCATTTAGCCATGTGACTTTGGGCTATTTGCTTCGTTGCTCCAAGTTTCAGCTTCCTAGTCTGCTAAATAGAACTGTTACTGTTACTGTTTCCAGCAGTAACAACAGTTCCTACTTCATGGGTTTGTCCTGAAGGTTAAATGTGGTGATGCATGAAAAAGGCTTATCTTTGCTAAGAGCCTGCCACATAGTAAGCATTCAACAAATATTAGCTCTTCCTAGCATTGCTACCATCTTGATTCTTGAGGGTTTTCCTTTAAAGCAAAGACTAATCCTGATAGAATGGAAAATTTTCTGTTCAAGCTATTAGAATGTTCTGTTCTACCCAATGCTAGACTTTTTTGCACCCCCTGTTTTATGAATTCCATGTGCATGGGCAACAGGCAGCATATGAGAATGGTTTTTGGGTCAGTGGTGTTTTTAGAGTCATTTAGCAAAGTGGAAAATAAGGTATTAATCGGGTGTCTAAGGCTGCTGCTCCTTTAGGCTTCATAGCACCTCTGACCATTCTAGGCCCAAAGCTGCTCACTGTAGTCTTCTCTGCCCCCACCGCTGCCCATGCACCCCCACCTCTCAGCAGCCTGGGCACTGAGGGCATGTATTTCTCAGATATCCTGGGCTTGTAGTGTCAGGAGAATGCCAGGTTCCCTGGCTGATTTTGCATTCTGCATCCCTCAGTGAACTGCACGGTTGGTTCAAGAAAGGGAAGTTGTGATCACAGTGTGCCCCATCTCCCCCCACCCCAGGGCTTCTTTCGCCGCACAATCCAGAAGAACCTCCATCCCACCTATTCCTGCAAATATGACAGCTGCTGTGTCATTGACAAGATCACCCGCAATCAGTGCCAGCTGTGTCGTTTCAAGAAGTGCATCGCCGTGGGCATGGCCATGGACTGTAAGGGGACGGGTGAGGGGGATTGAGTCAGATGGGTGGGGTTGAGTTCAGAGATGGCAGATCTCTTCCAGGTGCCCACTGGGCCCACAAGGCAGAGTGACAGTCCAATCCAGGTCACACTGATGGTGGAATGTTCAGAGTCTTGGTCCCTGTTGTCCTCGTCCCTGGGGAAGAGGAAACAGGATCCCTCTATGGGCCCTGCACATGGGCCTATCTGCCTTTCCCTTCCTGAGGGCCTTAGAGAGGGAGTTGTTAGGTAGAAAGGACTCCCGAACCCTGAGCTCCCACCCTAGCACATTGTTCCTGACTCCCAGGGAAGGAACCCCAGTTCTAGATGAGAGAGGGCATCTTTCATAGGCTAGGGCTTGGGTGGCAGGATCTTCTAGTAACTACTGTCACCACAGCCTGTTAGACCAGAACATGATGTCCCTCTGGATCAGCCCAAATTGGAGTGGACATGGCCCCAGTGATTAATCATGATCCAGTTTGTGTCAGCCAACTGCTAGGTGATTTGGGAATTAACTTCCCCAACCCATACGCTAGGAAGAGTAGTTTCTGAGAGGATCGTAGAGAGGAGATGGAGAGCTCCATGCAAAGGGCCTGTGTCTGTCTGTTCACAGTGGTTCTAGACGACTCGAAGCGGGTAGCCAAGCGCAAGCTGATTGAGCAGAACCGAGAGCGGCGGCGGAAGGAAGAGATGATTCGATCACTGCAGCAGAGACCAGAGCCCACTCCTGAAGAGTGGGATCTGATCCATGTTGCCACAGAGGCCCATCGCAGCACCAATGCCCAGGGCAGCCATTGGAAGCAGAGGCGGAAATTCCTGGTAAGGAGACAGGAGGCATGGAGAGAGCAACAGCCAAGTGGCAGAGAGAGCGACGAGCTCAGAGTCTTGCCTCCTCCAGGAAGGCTTCTTAGTTTAATCCCACCCGAAGTTGATTCTCTCCACACCTTGGCGGTCCTGGCTTTGTATATCTGTGTATATGTCGTTGCTATCTGGGTCCTGCCTGTTGCATCTGATTGGGAGCTCCATGAAGATGGGGCCTTGCCTTCCTCGTGGAATTTCCAGTGAGCAGGGGCAGCCCCTCCTCTTTTTCCTGCCCACAGTGACTGGGAGGACAGGGTGAAGACGTAATAACAGTATTTTTGAGCACCTGCTGGGTGGCAGGCATTGTGTTAGACCCTGGCAAAACTGATTGCCAAGTGAATGATCAGTTTGGGAGGAGACAGACAATTGATTGTACATGGTGGGGGAAAGCAAAAAACTGGCCCCTGGTTCCTGATGGAGTGTGCCAGAGGGTGGAACAATTCACTGTTAAGATCAGGTGCTCCAGTACCGAGCAGATGTGTGTGTAACAGTCTGGAGTCTGCCTGGGTTCAAAGCCTGGTTCTACCACGCACTAGTCATGTGACCTTGGTGTTATTACTTAGCTGCATTATGCCTCAGTTTCCTCACCTGTGAAATAGTGGATATTGCAATGTGGTAAGGATTAAACGAGATATGTAAAGCATGTAGACTAATGCCAGATCACATATTAAATATTCAATAATTATAGCTACTATTACGATTACATTACTGCTACTTCTGTTATTACTATTGTTATTATTAGCAGACCTGGAGCTCTGGCTCTGGTCTGTCCTCCACCCCAAGGTGAAGGAAAAGTCTTAGGGCTGGGGCCAGGTACTGGCCGCCCCTTTTCCCCGAGCTGCCTTGGAGCTCCCCCTGGTGGGCAGGGAGCCTCCGTGAGAGGTTGCATGGGGTCTGCAGGCCCAGCTGACCCCCATCTCTCCCTCTAGCCGGATGACATTGGCCAGTCACCCATCGTCTCCATGCCAGACGGAGACAAGGTGGACCTAGAGGCCTTCAGCGAGTTTACCAAGATCATTACCCCAGCCATCACCCGTGTGGTGGACTTTGCCAAAAAACTGCCCATGTTCTCCGAGGTGAGTGGCAGATGGAAGACAGACATGGTGTGGTGCTGGAGGGAAAACGAAGCTGCTGCACAGGGCACCTGGTCCCAGCATGTGCTCAGCTGAGGTTCTCTGGACAGGGAGCAATTCCTGTGGATCAGTACACGCACACACACACACACACGCATGCAGGTGGATGCATTTGCACACCTAGGGCTAGCTGATCTCCAGCACAAGCCAGGCTCCCAGCCCCTCTCCCCGCACATCTACTTGGCCATCCCAACTCCAGGCCAGCCCAAAAGTTCTCATTTTTCAGAGCACTGACTCTGGAGACAGGCTGCCCTACTAGCTATGTGACCTTGGCCAGATTACCTAAATCCCTTGTACCTCAGTCTTCTCCTCTGCAGTGGGGCTGGCGATGGTGATGGAACCTGACTCATAGGCATATTTGTGAGGTTTAAATGAAGTAGAGCAGGGACATGGCCCAGCACAAGGTTAAAGTTCTGTGTTACTGGCTGAGGGCAGAGCTCTCAGGGAGACTCAGGGACATTGGGAGGGCTGAGCTGAGTGCTCCTGTGGCCCTGCCGCTCCACAGCTGCCTTGTGAAGACCAGATCATCCTCCTGAAGGGGTGCTGCATGGAGATCATGTCCCTGCGGGCGGCTGTCCGCTATGACCCCGAGAGTGACACCCTGACGCTGAGTGGGGAAATGGCTGTCAAGCGGGAGCAGCTCAAGAATGGCGGCCTGGGTGTGGTCTCTGATGCCATCTTTGAACTGGGCAAGTCACTCTCTGCCTTTAACCTGGATGACACGGAAGTGGCTCTGCTGCAGGCTGTGCTGCTAATGTCAACAGGTACCCCCGATTGCTGGGAGGACTTGGAAACCTCCAGGGGCCCCGGAGCTGGGCTAGACCCTGGGCCTGTTGCTGTCCCCCTTCCTAATCTTACAGTTTTTCTCTGCTCCCCAGCTTCTCTGACCCCGAAACATGCCTCTTCTGTCTTCTTTCCCCCAGTCTACCTCTCTGTCATCCAGGCCGTCCTCTGTCCCCATCCCCCACCCTGTTCCTCAGGCCCTGCTGTGTTCCTTATCCAGCCTTCGCCCCATCCTTTCCCTCTGCCCCCATCCTCTCTGTCACTCACAGACCCTTTGTTCCCCATGCCTCCTTTGTTCTCCTCTACCTTCTCTCCCGTTCCCTCGTCTATCTCTCAGTCCCTTCTCTTGTCCCCCAGTCCGCTCCCTACTCCCACTGCCACCCCACCTCTCTGACTGCCAGCCTTCTCTCTGTACTCCAGCCCTCCCCTATCTCCAAATCTCCTGTCTGTTCCCAGCCCCACCTCTGTCCCCCTGTCCTCCTCGTGTGCCCACCATACCCCTTTACACCCCCAGCCCCAGCCCCCTCGCTGGCTCTGTGTGCCCTCTTGTCCTCTCTCACCTGCCTCCCAGGCCCTCGGCCACTCACCCCTCATGGCCTGCCTTCCCTGCAGACCGCTCGGGCCTGCTGTGTGTGGACAAGATCGAGAAGAGTCAGGAGGCGTACCTGCTGGCGTTCGAGCACTACGTCAACCACCGCAAACACAACATTCCGCACTTCTGGCCCAAGCTGCTGATGAAGGTGACTGACCTCCGCATGATCGGGGCCTGCCACGCCAGCCGCTTCCTCCACATGAAAGTCGAGTGCCCCACCGAACTCTTCCCCCCACTCTTCCTCGAGGTCTTTGAGGATCAGGAAGTCTAAAGCCTCAGGCGGCCAGAGGGTGTGCGGAGCTGGTGGGGAGGAGCTGGAGAGAAGGGGCCGAGCCGGGGGCCGAGGGAGACCCCCCACACCTCTTCTCTCCTCCTCTCGTCCTTGGATAGATGCAGCTCCCACACACACACCCGCACTGCCCAGGTCCCTCCTCAGAACCTCCAGCCCTGGGACAGGGCAAACAATGAACTTGCTATGAAAAGGACAGTGTGGGAGGCGGGGGGACCGTGTCCTGCAGTTCCCAGGACCCCGTCCTTTATGAAGGTAGGGGAAGGGAGGGAGAACTAGGAGGGGACAAGCCATTTTGACCGTAGGGGAGGGAGGAATGTGGGATGGGGAAAGTGCCCTCAGCTCATCCCCTACACACACACAAGAGAGAGCCCCCCACCCACTTCCTTGGCCTAGATTTCCCCTTCAGGTTGAGGACTTCTCTACTTCCCCAGATGCCTGGGTGCAAAGAATGGCTTAGCTTGGCTCCTCCCCTGCAGGTTAAAAACTATGGTCATTTTAACTGCACTTTGGAAACCAAACAAGGGGAGAAGATAAATGAAGAAAAACTAGACAGAGAGAAAAAGACAAAAAAAGAGAGTGTGCGATAGAGAGAGAGAGAGATGATATTAAGTTATTAACTGAGGCTGGCCAGAGGGGTGGGACCCCCCTTACCACCCCATGCACTTTGAGAGCTGCCCCTCCTCCCCCCAAATCAGAGAGAAATGTCCCCCACACCGGATCCCCCAGGGTAGGGCTGCCGATCAGAGCTGTGAGTTCATACAACAGGGTCCTGGCCACCCCCTTGCCTTGCCCCTCCTTTTGTGCCCCTTTGGCACCCCCACCCAGGACTTCCTCTGCTCTCTGCCACTCGTGCCCGCTGAGTTCCATCTACCTCTCATGCTGGATGCCAGCTGGCCCCTTACCAGCCTGCCCTGCTGCCCACACAGCTCCCCTTCCAAGTGCCCGGCCCCAGGGGCCTCTCCCTGTCCCCCCTCTTTCCGCGCCTTGGCACCTACACAGGAAAAACTGTGGCTCAAGCTCCTGCCCTCCTTGCATCCTGCAGTATTAGTTCCAATCCAGATGCTGCTGCACTGGGCAGCTGGGGTGTGTGTGAGCGTCTCCCATGGCCTCCACCCCTGTAGGACTCTGTTTCCCTGTTTCCCGTCTGTCTGCTGGGCTCTCTCTAACCTCTGTCCTCCTTCCTCCCCATTCCTACTAAATGGCTAACCCAGGCTCTGGGCAGGCAGGCACCGTAAGGGGGGCGTTTAGATAAATGGCACTTAGTTGGGGCCCTGGGGGCGGGGGCGGTTGGTGCTCTTCCTTTTTCTTTGAAGCTCTTTATGCCAGCTGCCCCTCTGCCCCTGGGACCCCCTTATCCCCCTTTTTTTCTCTAATTCAGGGACTTTGGCTTGAGCCCCCTCCCACCCTCCTGGTGAGGAGTGCTCTGTTGGTCTGCACTTGGGCGAGCTGCCCTCCTCCTCCCTTGGGCCATCGCCCAGTCTTCAGGGGAGAGAGGGAGGGAGGAGGTGGCCCTCCCATGGGTGGGGGAGGGGAGGGGGGAGGGACAGAGCAGACCAGAGGGCACCGGGCTCAGGGCTGCATGTCGGCAGGGATGGATGGGTGGACATAGATGCCCCCGGAAGCCATGGGGAATGGGGCAGGGGGTGGGGGGAGGGGTGCCAGGGCTTCCTGCGCTTTGCACTATTGGGGCAAAAATGTCTTAAGCAGTGGGGAACCTGCCACCCCACCCTGATCCTCAGCCTGCCACAGCCCCCTACACACACACACACACACACACACACACACACACACAAAATGCATGGGAAGGCAAGGCTATGCTGCCCGTCAGGACACTGTCCCTCCCCCACTGTTCAGGTGTTCCAATGGGGGTGGTGGGCCTGCAGGAGCATCCGCTGTCACCTGTGCATGTGCCTGCCCCGCCCCCCTCGGGCCCTGGGCTGCCCTGCTGTCTTTGTCTGTCTCTATCCTCTCTCTCTCCTGGAGTATTGATTCCTGTATTACTCCAGTCCCATGGGTAAGCCCTCTTGGACCTTCCTCCCATGCCTGGGGGCCCAGTGGAATTCCTGACCTGTCTGCTGTTTCCCCATCCCATTCCTCCATCCCCACCCCTACCCCTCCATCCCCATTCTCAGCCTTGGACACAGTGGAGAAAAGGCCTTGAAGAGCCTTGACTTCTTACAGGCACTGGGGAATCCCCCACCCTCCCCAATCATATGAGCTGTGACCCCCCTCCACTCCCGGACCCCTCCCCCCCACTCTCTGTGCTGTGGGGCATGTGTGTGTGTTTCTCGGCGTGAATGTGTGAGTGAGCACACATGGTGGGGGAGGAGCCAGGGAGACTCAGGGGTGCCACGCTCCTGCTCTAGAGAGGCAGCTGTCCCAGTCCCTGCTGGAAAAGTGGGGGACAGGGCCCTCTCCTGGGGGCCCTTGGTGCTAATGAGGGGGATGGCCCTGATGTGGGTGCTTAGCATGCCTCCCCCAGTATTGGCCCGGGGCACTAGGGCAGGCAGAGTGGGGCAGCAGGTGCAGTATTGGTGGGAGGATGGGATGCTGGGAATAGGATGAGGGGTCCAGGCCAGGACAAGGGGGTGCCAGAGCCATGACCACTACCCAGCCCCCACCACCCGCCTCTCCATCTCAGTATTCCCCCTCCCATCACTCATAACACACATACCTCATCCAGCCTCCTCCCTGCTCAGACTTGGGGAGGGTGGGGGAGGAGCCCCTACCCCTTCCCCTGGTGGCGGGTCTGCAGGGCTGGGAGAGGGCAGGGCGTGTGACATAGACACCGTCCATAAGGGGGACAGTAATTCCTGCCCTGGGAACTCCTGGGTGGGGGGAGGGGGGCACTGCCCAGAGGCGCTACTGAATGTATGAGAAGCTGGTGCTGGGGTGGGGGGAGGGGGGTTGTGGCCAGAAACAGGGAAGGAGGTAGGTCCCTTCCCCAAGGAGGGGTGGGACCGGTAGGGGTGACTTGAGGGGCTCCTACTCCTGCCCCATGTTGACAATCAGTATGTCTGTTATGTGCGATTTTTCACCCCGTTGTGTTTTGGGTCAGGATTTTAAAGAAAGATATTTTTATGGTAATTGTTGCTCGTCTATTTTACTATATATTTATGTAATAAATATATGATGAAAATAACCCCCTTGGGCACCCCCCTTAGACTTGTGTGCTGTTTCCCTATATCCTCCCATCTGCTGGCAGAGTACTCACCCCACAAACTGACCAGATGGAGAGGTGGCCCCCCCAGCTTTGGCAGTGTCCCCTCACCCTAACCCCCAAACGAGTACACACCACAGAAGCCAGCTCAGCTGTGAACTATTGGATTTGAGACAGGAACAGAACAAATCGGGGCTAGAGAAGGGTGGCAGAGAGAGTGAGTGGTTTAAATAGGGGAGGATGGGAAGTTCAGTGGTGGGGGAGGGAGGCAAGTATTTACAAGAAGGCTCAGGGGGCCAGAGGCTCATCTTGGAATATTTTATAACAATATAAATAAGATTCTGGTTTGCTTTTCCTTTTCGTCTCGTAAAGGAGAGAGAAGTGCAGAGTTCGATTCTGTACAAGGGGGCAGCGGCAGAAGGCCGGCCGGGCGGGTCACTGGGCGTCCACCCGGAAGGACAGCAGCTTCTCGGAATGCATGTTGTTCAGGGTCCGCAGGTCCGGCAGCTTGAGCAGCAGCTTGGTGAAGCGGGAAGTCTCCAAGGGCCGGTTCTTCAGCACCAGAGCCCGAAGAGCCCGCAGCAGCGTCTCCTGGAGCTGCTCCACCGAAGCGGAATTCTCCATGCCCGAGCGGTCTGTGGGGAAGACGACAGCAGTGAGGCAGGCTCCCTGAGCTCCTCTGACGAGGACCCGGAGGTCTGCGAGGACCCGGAGGTCTGCGAGGACCCGGAGGTCTGCGAGGACCCAGAGGTCTGCGAGGACCCAACAGGCAGTGCAGCCCCTCCCTGAAGCCCCCACAGAAGGCCTACGGGGCCGCCGGAGAAGGAGCGCCCCAAGAGCAGGAGGTGCCTGAATGCTGGGAGCGTGGGCTCAGCAGGGCTGGTCACCTCCCATCCCACAAGGCCACTCTCCTTCCCTGAACAGGCCAAACATATCCCAGATCCCTTGCTTTTTGCTCTGTAGTTCCCTCTGCCTGGGATGCCCTTCCCCCTTTCTCTGCCTGGCAATATCTTACTTGTCCTTTGAGGCCCCACTCAAGTGTCACCTCCTTCCCCAGCTCCCCCAGGCAGAAATAGTTGTCTGTGCTTCCTTGGTTCATGCTTCTACTGTGACACTTATCTCACTGTTTTATAATTAGTCGGGCATGAGTCTGTTTCCCAAGCTAGACTGTGTCTGAATCATGTCTGTATTCCCAGTGCCCGGTGCGGGGCCTGGCATAGAGTAGGTACTCCATAAAAGGTGTGTTCAATTGAACTGCGTCTGCCTCCTCCCCCCCGGCCCCTGGTCAGGCGAGAGCTTGACCAACCTGCAGAGACAAGCACCACTGCAGTGAAGAGACCCAGCTCCTCCTCGGTAAGCGCCAGGGAGTTGAGCTTCTCACTGAAGTCAAACATGGCATTCAGCAGGTCTCCCATGCCCATGGCACCGAGCTCCTGCAGGCTGTAAGTGGTGCGGCTCAGGAACATCACTGTCTGGTCCTTCACGTTGAACAGCGATGCAAAGCGCACCATCAGCACCTAAACGGGGTGGGGGTGGGGGAGGTGGACAGTCATTCTGGGTGGGGCGGGAGAAGCACTTGCCAAGTTGCCCCTAAAGTTTGCCAAAGGGTTTAGTTGTGCTGCCTTAGGTTTCTCAGTAGAGCGGGGGTTGTTTCTGGATGGGCAATGGGGAGCCCAAGGTGGAAGCAGGGGGAGCACCCCATGGGCTTCAGAATCCAACAGGTCTGAATCTGAGTCTCAACTCTGTCACTACCTGTGACCTCAGGTCACAAGTTAATTTACTCATGTCTAGAATGGGGACAGCAATGTACACTAAAGCGTTATTTTAATGTAATGGGTTGTGATTAAACTCCAGCTGAGATGACAGAAGTTTCAGCCACCCAGAGGCAGGAGTGAGGGGTTCTACAGTCAGAGGCTGTAAGAACAAAGATGCTAGGGTTCCAACGCCTTTCAGAGCCCCTGCCCACCCCATACACCAAGCCTTTCTGCTGGATCCTTCCCAAGGTCAAGAGCAGGGAGCACAAAGAGTCACTCACCTCAAAAGTGCCAGCCTTAAGCAAGGTGACTTGATCGTGCTGAGAAAGGTCACGGAAGCCGGGGATGTGCTTGGCAAACTCTACTACCTCCCGCACAGCGGGCGTGAAGCTCATGGAGAAATCCTCCCAGATCTCCTGCACGGTTCGCCCACTGCGTCCATGTGGGTACATGTTCATGGGACATGCCTGGGGAAGAAAGGGATTTGGGAGAGGAGTGTTAACCAGGCTGGCTCAGATGGACCCTCCCAGCAGGGCTGGGCTCCAGATTTTGCCTGGGCTACGGGCTGTGGCCTTGGAGGATAGGCCTTTCAGGTAAAGTAGCAATCAGGTGCCAGGTGGAGATTGGGGATTCCCAGGCAGA